GGGTGGGTTTTACAGGGCCCGCAGTAATTGGCGCAAGCTGTTGCGGTGTCCCTGCCTGTCGGCGAATCTATATAATTATATATATAATTATATATATATATATAACTGAGAAAATAGACTTGTTGTTAAAACTAGAAATGGACCATTAAATTCTAACCTTGCATCTCATTGATGAGTTGCCGTGTAGTTTCAAACAGAAGGCGGTAAGTTCGAATCGTTTCAAATAAGTGATCTCTCTCTTTTGTTAGCTGAGCCATTTGCTGTTGTTTCCTGACGTCTTCAAAATATAACAAAACAAAGAGACCCTTTTAATTCATGGTAATTTTGGTTTTAACAACTAAGTTGATAACCCAAACTGACCGCCGTAAAGGATTTCAAGCTGACATTTTGAGCGTTAGCCCCTCGTCATTCGCTCTGCCGAAGTGCCAACCCTCGAAAGATCAGCTTTGAAACTCTTTAAGGTGGCCAATTAACATTATCAACTTACTTGGTACAACCAAAATTACCTTATTAAACTCCCACACAGATGCACTGCACCACAGTTTCATTAGAAACTTACTCCCTTTTAATTCAGGTCTTCAATTCTTTGATTCAACACACTGACTAGTTATGGGTAACCGAATAAAATTACAAACTAACACTATCTGTGTCTTTGCCAGAGAAAAATGACACTGAGTTGTTACAAATTCTAATAACTTTACACGGGTGACATCAAGATAACTTCATTTTTTTTTATAAATCAGTCTAGAAGAGACTCACCATTGTAGAACAAGAAAGCCAGTGTAAATGCCGGAATAGGATGAGGGGAGGCATTAGCTGGGATTTGAGTGTCAAAGTTAAGCAAGTATTCTTGTCCATCTTTGCCTGCAGTATTTTCTTGTATGAGCAAGTTGTGAACATTGGCCACACCCTTGAGGAGGGGTACTTCCATGCGGTACACATTCCCAGCTAAGGCGGGAATCTCGTCGATACCCTCGGATGGAGTACTAACTGTGATAACAACTTTACCCCGGATATTTTCGCCGGTCAGGTTATCAAACTTGTCCTGAAAACAATGTTAAGAGCAATTTATCAGTGATGATTGAGTCTCGGAAGGCATTCATCCTTTATGAACAGCGCGGTGATTGTTGGTTGTGTGTCGGAAATGCAGTGTTGTCCTGCAGAAAAAAACTACTCAAAAACCAAGCTCCATCAAAAGTAACTAAATCCAAACAAAAAAGACAATGCACAAAGGGCGAAACACACCCTGACCCACCAAGTTTAAAGCAGCCATTTTTAACTGGTTTCGAAGGTAAAACAAGATCGACACAAATATGCTGAGACGATCCGAAAAACAAACCAGACATTCAATGTAAAGAGATATAACGGAGTAAATGCTCACATGTTACCATGGTCATAAGCTTTGAGTTTATCATATAATTACTAGTGACGAAAATTAAAATTGAAAGCGGAAAGTTGAATTTGAATAAATATAAGTAAAAAAAAATCACATGATTAGCTAGGGCCATTTGGAATTATTTAGACTCAGTCAGTGGAAAAGTTAGCTGTTCTTATTCAATCCAAAATGCACTTGAAATTATTGTTAATTATCATTTATACAAATTGTAGCTAAAGCACAGTTCATGAAGCGGACCTTAAGCTGCAACTTGAGTGTCTTCACCAGTGTTCGGCTGTTAGTCCTCTGAGTGTTGGACACTGTTGGTGTGGCTGGAATGGATTCTGGTTCAAGTTTCACAGGCTGACCAGGCATTGCTGTAAACGTGATCTGTAAACATGGTGGTTAAACAATGCATCAATAGAGCTTTTTTCACTCAAATTACAGAGTGGTTTATATTTACCATAAAGCAAAAGTGACGTGCCATTGTTACTTGGTATAAATTTACTGGCCTAACTTTGGATCCTCGTCATGATTATTGTTCAACAAAATGGTATATCCACAAACCGGTTTACTTGAGAGAGTCACGACTCCTGCTGATCCAAACTGTATCACCATACAGTATGGCCCAGATACATCAGGCACCTTCAGGTCCCTACAGGATCAACACAGGCAAGGTCAGTGATCTAACAACTAAGAATGGCCCGGACACATCAGGCACCTTCAGGTCCCTACAGGATCAACACAGACAACGTCAGTGATCTAAGAACTAAGAATGAGTGTAAAACTTGACAAAACCTTTCATAAAACGCTTAGGAAAACAGATGTAAAATGCATCTAAATAAAACCACGTAAATCAGTCAAATAACACACCTGAAGTAGAATTCGCCATCTTTATCTGATGCTTTTCTTTTTGACGGATAGAGAGTTGTAGCCTTGAAAAAGAGAAATTATTAGTGGACACATCTACAAGAAAATACACTGGGTCATGCAACAACCCAAATGACACAAAGCCAACATATCCCAAGCTTTCTTAACCTGTTTAAATAACAAAAAAAATTACCTGAGAAAATGACTTTAACTCTGAGTTTTGGATGTCTTTGAAACAGCCTTCTACATTACCTACCTAATTCAGGCAAAAGTATTCAGACCATCTTACCCGAGGTGGGGGTTTGTCAGATACCGCACCATCCTTTGTGTGCCAAATCTTCAAAACAATATCTTTAGCACTCGCTGCTTTCATAACAGCTTCGTCCTCTCCTACGACATGAGCTGAAACAACTGAAAGAACAAATGCCGACCCACTTTGGAATCAATCTACTTCAAAGCCATCTTACTCAGTGCCACATATTGTTTTTCTGTTTAGGGATTATCAAGCTTATTTTCCGAGCTCGAAGACTCTCACGCACGTGCTGCCAGATTGATATACAATTTAAGCCCATCTGTCCCTAAACATGAAGTTCTCAGACCTAATGGAACTCTCTACTTTATATGTACAAAAAAAGACCAGCTTGCATTGCTTACCAGGCTTGCAAGAAATTGACGCCGCATAGTATTACAAACTTGTTCTCTAAACACAGAACTAACTACAACCTAAGGGACAATCTAAGATTTGAACTTGTTCATTCTAAAGTTCTTCGTGACTCCTTTACCCCCCGTGCTAACATAGTCTGGAACTGTTTAGCAACCCAGCTAAAAGCTGTTCCAAGCTTTACCTCATTTAAAACTCACCTTAAGAAATTTCACAAGTTTATAGAAGTAATTTCATTTGGCTCTAACCCAACAACAACGTCGATGATTTTATATACTTTCAACAATAATAATTTATTTCAGTTAATTAGTTATTTGCGTTTCATCTGTAAAATAAGTTTTCTACTTACTTTTGCATGTACTTATATGATATTTAACACTGTTACAGCAGGTCCACATCAGCATACGTTGCCATTAATTAACTTGCTTTATCAAACAAAACAATTATGTATGTATGTAAGCACACCTCCATTATCTTTCTTTTAAGTTTAAGAAAACCATTAGACCTAGCAGTTATAGACTAAGAAATAGAAACAGAGATGAGTAAAGATCAAAACTTCATTTTGAAGAATAAGTTTGTAACTAACCTGGTAACAATTCTCCCACCACACATGGAGCTTTTGAGTCAAATGTGACAGTGAGTTTGACAGCTTTAGAAGGGTCTGGCTCCACTCTAGTTAAGAAAAATTCATAGAGAATGTCAAAAACTGATACAAACATGTATGGATCACTTCATTTGAGCTTCACTTACCTAACATTCACTGTTGGTGCATCTAAAGCTGTTCTTCCCAGGAGTGCTTTGATTCGTATTCCATACATCCCCCTGTGTTTCAGGAACAAATGCAAATTCTCACTGATGGTCAAGATATATTTTGTATATTGAGGAAAGTTACCAGACTTCATTTGTCAAGCAAGAATCTAATGTAAATACCACTTGCTCATCTAACAGATCTCTTACCCTGCATGGCTGACTCACAACAGTATTTCAGGTTAAATCAAGTTCTTCTCTTTTCACTTGACTATGCTAAATTTATGTCTGTATGTGATAAAAACTTCAGAATGGACCAATGGGGTCTGTCTTATTGCACCATATACCTGACTGCACCAACAGTGAGATGACCAAATGAAGCTTGACCTTTGCCGTCTGTCTTCTGAACACCAGGTGTTGGGGTTAACTGCGTACAAATAAAAAAATACAGTATTTACATTTGGGATAGTTTGTGCAAGTATTATCATGGCTCCTCTGTATTGACAATTTCCAGCTCATATTCTGACCTTAAGTCCCCTGTCACAGTTCAGGACCACCTTAACATTAGGCTCATCTGAAGGGTTTCCAAGGTTATCACATAACTGCACTGTGAGTGGGACTGGCATTCTGGTGTCATTGTAAACTGACAAAGGCTGCAGTGAAATCATACAGGACAAACCAATAGTCCATTTTACAGTTGTGTGCTTGGTTGCCAAGCCTTTGAATGGGAGTGAGGCTAGGGTTGACCTTGTTATGATACAAACCTTGCTCCCTTTCAAATGTAAATCACTTTGTTATCATGCTAAGTAGATACAGGTCTCTATCACAACAAGGTCACCTTCAGCCTCACTCTGAATCAAAGGCTTGGCAACTAAGTACACAACTGTAAAATGGCCTATTGCAATGATTCTAGTCAATTATTGAGCACTAAGATGAAAGGAAAATGTCACTAACAAAATAATATTAATAATATGACTACAAAGCTAAATGAAGTTAAACTAGGATAGGGAATTTCCAATCAACAGCTAACAATAATTTAACCATTTTCACGACATAGTGGATGGTTCATGCTGATGACTACGTTGTCAGCACTGTCATTGTACTTAAATAAACAAGTGAACATAGGAACATAATTCAACATTTGTAATTCTTAATTACCTGGAGCTTAATTATTATGCTATTATAATTGTCAAGTACCAATTAATTTTAGTCAAAAGTATAGGCAATTTAACTTAGTGTAAAAATTTCATTGTAATCTATATATTTATACATTGTTATATACTTATACACCTGTACTAAATATCTTAGTGTGAATTTTAGATTTTACTGTAATTTTAAGTGTCCTTGATTAGTAGACCACTTGTGGTCAGCTAGAAGATTTGACAAGTTAATAAAATTACTGGCTGACTGACTGACTGTAATTTGTTTGTATTAAAAACACTTGAAAAATGCAGAGGAAATCAAAATAGTTCTTGAGTACCTCTGAATGATCAATATCGAGAACCCTGAGTTTGGCAGGAGGACCTGCCGTAATCTGTTGAAAAGCAATCATAACAAATGCACTGTTACATGAAAAATGCACAATAAACAACAGCCATCACAAAACACACTTTGAATTACAATTGACACAAGATACAAAAACTCTTTGATCTTATTAACTTTAGTGATGTCATAAATTTCTAAAGAATCTGAAGTTTATGAATAAAGTTAAACCAGCTACTTCACAATGATAATCAACTACCGACAGTGTATCAAACAATAAATTGATGAAAAGGTGTCCATGTAAATAGTTTTGATTTAACTGTAGATACCTCAACTCTTTGATAAGTTGTAGTTACAACATGGTGTATATATATCTTATTAACCA